AGACTTATAACTGCTTAGAATATGAAACTGGTGCGGCGATGGCGTAGTGGTTAAAGCATCCGCCTCGCATGCACAACGTCCGTGGTTCAAAATCCCGGTGCCACGCAGTTCCACACCGGACAAAAAAAAAAAAAAAAAACGCGAGGTGTTGGAACCGTTTAAGAGGCCTGGGGTGCGGCCACACCGGCAATCACCACCGGTAACGCACTCCCTCACCAGAGAAGGATTGGCCACCCTAATGCAGTATCTGGCCACTACTTCACACATGCATACGTCAATTAACTCACAACCCTCAGTCCCCAGCAGCTGCGAAGCAACTGACCACGGCGGCGGTCAGATCTGCAACGCAGCAGAGGGTGCTAAGAATCTCGAAATTCGGACAGCCCGCCATTGGAACTTGAACTTGGCAACGTTTACCGCCAGAATCTTATCTAGACAGGGAAGTCTAGCTGAACTATTCGAGGAGCTAGAGGGTTTTAATTGGGTATAATAGGGCTCATTGAGGTTAGGACAGATGAGGCCTACACGATGCTACAGAATGGGCACATCTTTTGCTATCTGGGCTGGGCTGACAGAAGAGAACTGGCAGTGGGGTTCCCAATTCATAGAAACATAGTTGGCAACATAGAGGAATACTATAGCATTAACGAAAGGGGGGTAGGTATCACATTTAAACTCGGAAGATATACAAAAGAAAAGTGGTACAGGCTTATGCGCCTACACCCAGCCATGACGACGCTTCAGTCAAAAGCTTCTATGAAGACGTGGAATCGGCAATGAGTAAGGTAAAAACACAGTATACTAATACTGATGGGAGACTTTAATGCAAAGGTAGAGAAGATGCAGGCTGGAGACCAGGCAGTAGGAGATTATGGCATCGGTACTAGAAACGACAGAGGAGAGGTACTGGTAGAATTCGTAAAACGCAATAATTTACGGATTTTGAATACCTTCTACCGAAAAGGAGGAAGCCGCAAGTGGACATGGAGGAGCCCTAATGGCGAAAATAAGAATGAAATAGACTTTATAATCAGTGCACACCCAGGCATCGTGCAGGATGTGAAAGTGTTTGGCAAGGTACAATGCAGTGACCATAGAATGGTGCAGTTTTACATTCGCCTAGACTTGAAGAATGAATGACAGAAACTGATACGCAAGAAGCCAGTCAATGACCTCGCACTGAGAGGGAAAGTACAGGAATTCAGAGTCTCGCTTCAGAACAGGTACTCTGCTCTTAAGCTTTCTCAGGAAACTAAGAATCTCATTAAGAAGTGTCAAATCTTGAAAGTCTCAAGTACAACAGACAAAATAGAACTTGCAGAGCTTTCAAAGTTGATTATTTGGCGTAAGGTATGCGATGTAAGAAGATATACCATGGAGAGAATTGAACACGCTCTCAAAAACGGAAGGAAGCGTCAAAGCAGTGAAGAGGAAACTTGGGGTAGGCAAAAATCGGATGTATGCACTAAGGGAAGGCAAAAAAACTACAAATACGTATAGGATAGTTAAAATAGGGGAGGAGTTTTACAGAGATCTGTACAGTAGCCGGGACAACCACGACCTTAATACTATAAGAACTAGCAGTAACCCAGATGACACCCCATTAGTAATGGTAGAAGTAGTCAGAAAAGCTTTGCAGAGCATGCAAAGAGGCAAAGCTGCTGGTGAGGATTAGGTAACATCAGATCTGCTGAAAGATGGAGGACAGATTGCGTTAGAAAAACTAGCCACCCTGTTTACGAGGTGTCTCCTGACGGGAAGGGTACCAGAGTCTTGGAAGAACGCTAACATCATCTTAATACATAAGAAAGGAGATTACAAGGACTTGAAGAATTACAGGCCCATCAGCTTGCTCTCTGTAGTATACAAGCTATTTACAAAGGTAATTGTTAACAGAGTAAAGAAAACATCAGAATTCAATCAACCAAAGGAACAAGCACGATTTCGAACAGGCTATTCAACGATCGACTACATTCATACTATCAATCAGGGAATAAAGAAATGCTCAAAATATAACCAACCACTACACATAGCCTTCATAGATAACGAGAAGGCATTTGATTCAGAAGAGATATTAGCACTCATGCAGACACTTCGTAATTAGGACGTAGATGAAGTGTATATAAACATCCTGGAAGAAATCTGCAAGGGATCAACTGATACCATAGTGCTTCATAAAGAAAGCAACAGAATACCAATCAAGAAGGGTGTAAGGGGGGGGGGGGGAGACACAATCTCCCCAATGATATCTACTGTGTGCTTACAGGAGGTTTTCAGAAGCCTAGAATGGGAACAGTTAGGGATAAGAGTTAATGGAGAGTACCTGTAACCTGCGCTTTGCCGATGACATTGCATTGCTGAGTAACTCAGGGGACGAACTGCAACTCATGATGACGGAGTTAGACAAGGAGAGCAGAAAGGTGGGTCTAAAAATTAAACTGCAACTTATGATGACGGAGTTAGACAAGGAGAGCAGAAAGGTGGGTCTTAAAATTAATCTGCAGAAAACGAAAGTGATGTACAACAACCTCGGAAGGGAGCAGCGCTTCGAGATAGGTAATAGTGCTCTTCAAATTGTAAAAGACTATGTTTACTTAGGGCAGGTAATAACCGCGGAGCTGAACCACGAGATTGAAGTAACCAGAAGAATGGGGTGGAGCACATTTGGCAAGCACTCTCAAATTATGACAGGTAGATTGCCACGATCCCTCAAGAAGAAGGTATATAACAGCTGTATCTTGCTGGTACTTAGCTACTGAGCAGAAACCTGGAGACTTACAAAGAGGGTTCAGCTTAAATTGAAGATGACACAGCGTGCAATGGAAAGAAAAATGGTAGGTGTAACCTTAAGAGACAAGAAGAGAGCAAAGTGGATTAGGGGACAAACGGGATTAAGGATATCATAGTTGAAATGAAGAAGAGGAAATGGACATTGGCTTGGCATGTAGCGCGTAAACAGGATAACCGCTGGTCATTAAGGGCAACTAACTGGATTCCCAGAGAAGGCAAGCGGTTTAGGGGGAGACGGAAGGCTAGGTGGGCAGATGAGATTAAAAAGTTTGCGGGTATAAATTGGCAGCAGCAAGCACAGGATTGAGTTAACTGGCAGAACATGAAAGAGGCCTTTGTCCTGCAGTGGACGTAGTCAGGCTGATGATGATGAGAATCTGAAACTAGAGCCTTCGACTGATGAAAAGATTGTCCGCCACACTGATTTAAACCAACCCAGTTTTTTTTGCGAGAGGTGGATTTATATTTTCCTTTCTTCTTTGACAGTCTCGAAAAATGATGTGGCACCTCTGGTGGCAAAAGCATGAATGATACTACGTACCTCGCCATGCGACTTGATTTCTGTACACGGTCAAGGATTTTTTTTTTTTTGTTAGAATCAATTTTCAGTATCGCTTGAGGAAAGGTACTGTCGTTCTTTGTGAAAGGGAAGACACGATCGCGTGACCTGCTCTCTATAACGGCTGCCTACAGTATCTTGCAGCGCTTGTCCAGCGGCTATAACTTGTTTCGTTTGCCAATAGATGACCCAAAAAGCCAACGTCTTTACTTTTGCAGTAAGTTGATTTTTCAGTAGGCAGCCGCCGAAGAGCGCAGGCCACGCGCTCACCTGTTCCCTTTCATTAAGGACGACTGTGCTCATCTAGATCTTTCCAGATAGAGAATTACTACTGGTAAAATAACTAGGTGCTTTTGGGATTAATGATCTTATGCATGAGGTGATGCACAAGATGCGGTATTAATTGCGGATCAAGTGCATCAACCCATGACGCCTGCGGGCGCGCAAACATTCCGGCGGGATACCAGGCAGGAACGGCCGCGCAGTGCGTGGAAGTCAACGGGTTATAACTACAAAAAAGGGGAGGGAAGGAAAAAAAAAAAATCAGTTGTCATCCCCTTTTACCCCATTTATTTTCAGCTTTTTTTCAACTATTTTTTTTATAACAAACCACTATGATATGACATTAAAGACCCCTGTATTTGCACCACGTTGTGTGTGCCCGCGACCAACATTGCCTGCTACATGGGTGGCTTGTCCCGGCATTGTTACTTTCATGATACACAAGCCAAGCGAACTCATGGAAAATGTCACTATGCATAGGCACAGCCACGCCGAGTAGCAGAGAGCATCATATCGGGATTCAGGGCAGGTAAAGAACTGTCACTCCAAAATCTCAAAAATTCGGAAACTGCTTGCATAGTTGCATGAGCACTCTAAAAAGATGGTCACGACATACTGATAATCATCGGATTATCTCATCGCGCGAAGTCAGTGCCAATTTCATGCATGCTACTCATGCACGCCTATATGTAAATTTCTGTGGAGTACTAATAGCTTTTAATATGAAGAAATAAACAACATTTCAATAATAACTAAAGAAATTGTCGACCTTTAACAGCAATTAACTCTCAGGTGGCCAGGAACATCTGATCCTTCATGTTTTTCCTGGTAGAGGCACAACATGTTATTTTTCACGACTTTCAGTGAAAAAATAAAATAGTATAACTTGCAAACGAAAGTGGGTTGGTGCGAGTCAATGCGACTGACAACCTTTCCATCAGTAGAGTCATAGTTTCGTGTTCTGGGCAGTTGTTGGCTCCTTTAACTGAGGCACAAGCTGCACATGAATTGGTACACAAAGGTGCAGAGAGAGAGGATTTTAGCACAATGGCGCAGTCAGATCACCAGCGCGTAACACAATGTTGTGGTCATGTCACTGCTACACTGCAGTAATCCGTTCCTTTGCAGCGTTCCAACCTACTGCTGATTCTATGCTCGCCTTTCATGGGTCCACAATAGAACCAAAGCAGTGGAAAGGTGATCTCTCACAATCTCAAACAACCAGAATTGTCGTTGTTGAGCTGGGCATCAATTTGTAGCAGCATCACTTAATGAGATGACCCTGTAACTTTGCATAGTACTAATGTGTCGTTTCTAAGACGAATAATTGCTCTCATGACAGACAAAAAAGAAAAAAAAAACGAAAACATCAGTAAAGCAACTTTTTATATGAACATGAAAAACACCACGCAGTTTTTTTGTTACACATTTACTCTATGATTGATGATGGAGCCCAACAATGAATGGCATCTCCTGCATCCATGCAGGAATACGCAAATACTATGCACAATGTAAACGCTGGCTCCACGCATGTGACACCCATTTCCAGCATACAGGGCGTCAATGAACTGCTCCAGCCGTCAAATGAAGAGGCAGTGTGCAACACCGAAATCGCGTCTCTGACGCACTGCACACATCGAACTGTGGAGCCCAAGGGTAATCCAATTCTGAGCTCTTGAACCCAGCACTCATGACTTTATATAAACTATACTACACATTTCGTTCAAAATAGTCTGGCTAAAAAAATAAAGAGGAGGAGGGGGAAGGGCATAGCATAACCAAAGCTGCAGGCCAATCCTTCGGCTCTCGTTAGTACTCCCCATTTAGTCGTTATAATACACTACTACAGCATTAGGAGCAATCTTGCTAGCATCCACCGAGAAACTCCACTGGATGTGTTGATCAGATCCCGCTCTTCTTGCAGGCGTCTTGTGAGCAGATTGCAGTGCCAGGTTTTTTCCAGCAGGTGGTTGCTGCTGTCCTCTTTACATGCCCATGCCACCCATGCCTCCCATGGCACCCATGCCTCCCATGCCACCCATAGCATCAGCCTTGTCTTCCTTGGGAAGCTCCACAACAACAGCCTCGGCCGTCGTCAAGAGGGAGGCCACACCAGATGCATCCAGCAAGGCTGTTCGCACAACCTGCACAGCAGGCATGCATCGTTCTATTACAGTTTTTTACGGCAAAACATACCAGGTTTACTGATTATAATAGATAAAAAAAGCAAGGAAACACATTCTTTGTAGTAATTACAATCTACAATATAACCTCATTACAGCTGATGATGTCAACAGCAACATATTTGATTCGGTTGGCAAATCACCACTGTAAAAGCAAGTGAGTAAATGTACACGTGTTGGGTTTGTACAACCACATGACTGTTCATTCTGAGAGTGCCACTCAACACCACAAGAGTCATGAGACACATTTGACACAATTATACCTGAAAATTTGTTATAAAAATATCTTATTTATGACAAGGCTATTCTTCATTTATTTTGTTACAACCAACAATTCGTTATATTCATGCTTGTGATATCAAGGTTTGAGTGTCAAAAGAAAGTGGACGAAAAGATAACTAGCCTGGCAAACCGCGAACCAGCGATTTTTAAATAGTGCATTCAATACTTGACTAATTAAGTTACAGTGGCAGTCATCCAGGTGTTCCAGCTAACTTAAGCCAAGGGGTGAAAGATACAATATTAGAAGCAGGCAAGTGAAACCAGCAGCACACTGCTGACAGTCGCCTTGTTTACGACAGAGAATGTTAGTTATATAATTATTAATTTTTTAATTACGATGACTTGACTAGCTATATATTAACTTTTAGCAAGCCATGCGACTTGCAATGTTCGAGAACACCTTCAGAAATCTCACGGAATACAAAAAACGCCATGTGACTAGCACAATCACTTGTGGCAAGCATGCTGCTTGCTCTCAGCCACGACTTGCCGTATTTGTTGCACTGATAGGCCGCTAAGTTGGTGGTGGTTTCTTGGCTCGTTGCCAGCCAGTTGGCACACGTGATGGCGAAGCTTGTAGCCAGCGCAGGATGCCAAAGATTTATATGTACCTTACTTACTCACAATTTTCCTGCACTTTCTTTCAGGAGTAACTCAAAGAAGTAAAACCTTTGAGTAATACTAATTAAGACTGACCTTGAAAATAAAACCGCACGTTCAACACAAGGCAACATTTGTTTGGACAGCAAAGCCACTAGCAAATAGAGCCTCAAGGGTCATCGCATAGAGACTCTAGATATGATTAAGAAGTGCCATTTCAACCTGTGGATATTTCCTAGTCTTAGGCCTACAGAAGGCCCGACACGTCATGTTGGTGGCTGTCGCCTGCTTGTGCTGCTGTCACCAGTAGCAAACATGAAACTCTGTAGTCCCTGCCAACAACCCTGTTGCCGTTGTTTAGTGCATGATCAATCAACTTTTCCGCACTCAACACGAGGACGCAAACGAAAGATTCACAAGGACAAGTGCACACTATCAAGTGACTTTCATTCAATAAAAAAACACAATATAAACTCATTACAGCACATAATGGTCACTCTGCATGAGCAGAATGACATAGTATGTTCTTTTACATAAAAATAATAAAAGCTTTAACACACACATTGAACTTTCACATCTATTATGTAAAAGAGTACACGGTCATTCCATGCCAAACGCCCCAGCCATTTTAGCAACCATCTCAAATGTATTCGCAAAAAATCCTGCAGACTTACTGCAATAAAAACAGTGAACTGCTAGAGTATTCCGGAGAAAACTTTAATGGCATAAAACAGTCGTTTTATGCCATCTACAATAGCACTTGCCGTAGTTTTGTCTGCACAGTTTCAGAAAGCAGCGATGCTTTGACTGGTTGAGCACACACTTTCGGGGATCTGTCAGTTACGTTATCGCCATACATGATCGTGTCAAGAGCGACCGCGGCTTCGTCCACAGCGATTGTGGCAACGACAATCACATGCACTGTAGAAGACTGTGCGTGCGTTCATCGCACGCGTACTTCCGAAACTTCCGAGTACGCTTCTCTCTGCCTTCATTCGACGGTTTCCGTACTAAACTTCGTAACACCCGCCATGAAGAAAATGTGTTTGAAACATTACAGTTGAGGCCCGAAGAACATAGTAAAATTTGGCTGTGGAATATCAAGAGTTTGTATCTGCCGCACTTTCGCATCACTGCGATTGTACTGTACGTTTACATGAATGTCTATATATATATAATTAGTCCCATATATGAGAAATTCGATATAAAAAAATACAGGCCCCGGGAGCTTACCTGTAGCGGACCATTACCTACAATAGGCAGATTAAAGAATGACAACTAATTCTCCACGCTGTGGTGTACACGTATCCCAAAGGAGTACGGCCACCAGCATGGGTTTGGTCTTAGCGAGCCGCAGGGCACGCATTAACCGTCGCCGTGGCGAGAACACCTTACTGCTCAAAGTTGCCAAACCAAACGCAGTACAGCCTGTTGCAAAAGGTGCGGCGCGAAAGCAAATAGGCTTATTCACGCCACGGGCACAAAGTACTACACAGGGTGCCACGAGCACGTCTCCGCGGTAAAGGTGATCCACGGAAACACCGGGACCAAAGCCCGGTTGCTCGAGCGAGGGCAAAGGCGCTCGCATTGGCTTCGAAGGGAGACGGGTCGGCGTAGCTGGGCCACGCACTAGGACACCATACCACCCACCGGCCGTGCGTACGCAGCGGGGCAACAATAGGTGAGCGTTCGCCTCGGGTGTGAAGCCGTCAGAGAAGTCCGACGAGCCCCGAGTGACGAGAGTCGACGGACGGAAAAGATAGCGTGGCTCACCGTTTGCTGTCCCGGAGAGTGTCTGCTCCTGACGCAGCGCGCGGAAACCTCTCGGCAGCCTCCGCGCGCGGCGCCACAGTCAACATTGGCTACCGGGTGAGGGAGTTAAACGTCACTCCGCTCACCCAGCACTGCAGACAGCAAAGGAGGGCAGACATGTCGGGCCATGAGAACGGCAGAAAAGGCGGCAAAGCCCGCGCAAAGGCAGCGGGCTAGCCTCCATTCCCACATCCCCCTCTCCTAAATTTGCCCTTTACCGGTCTGCAAAAGGCAGCCGGACGTCACCCATGCAGTTAAAATGACACTGCTATGAGCGACAGCTAACCTCAGTCCAGCCCTGTTACTGCTGCTAAAAAAATGATTACAAAGGAGAAACAAAAACATAAATAACAAAATAAACACATGACACTATAAAAATAACTGCGGAAGGGAGCACAGAAAAGTGGGACTAGTGTTCGTGGTGCTGAAGCGGGATAGCGTCCACCACGCGGAGGGGCGGAACGGCGTGACAGTGTCCGCTGGGTGCGATGCTCGAGTGTGAGGTCAGAGGTACGAGAGGGGGCTCACTGATGGCTTGTTGCTGCTCCTGATAAGCCGCGAGTCAAACGAAAGCCGCTTCGGTTGTTCGGAGGCCCTGCATTTCTGGCTCGATGACGGAGCTGGACGTAGCGGGAAGCCGGGCCTCTCCATTATCAGATGGTCGAACCAGAACTGGCTGCGAGACGTCCTGGCGTTGGCCGGCAGCATATAGCTGCTTTCAGCTGGCCTCGTGCAGGAGCCATGGTGGGAAAGGCAGCAGGGCTTCTTCGGCGACAACCGAGAGCAGAGCACAGCCAGACGGTCTGACGTCAGTGGGTCAGTGCCCCCCCAGCACCTCCAGTCTCCGCGTCGATGGGGGGAAGCCATGACGCACTCGTCGCGGGCTCGCACTGAAGCGTCACGCACTTACACACGCACGGAAGCACACACACACCGCCGACAGCTGCGCGAGCGCAGGCGCAAAGTGTCCTTCGTCTCTCTCTCCCGGCAAGCACCGACACTCAAGGTCACACACAGCTCCCTTCGCAGCAGACGAAACGAACACGGAAAAAAAAGTAAAAACAGAGCAAAATGACACAACAGCTGGAAAAAACCATAAAATACAAATAACACCTAATATTAGACAAAAGAAACATAAAATACACATGAACGCTTAAAAAAGGAAACACTGGCAGCAGACTGGGCGGGGTCAACTTCTTTACGAGAAAAGGCCGTAAAGAAGCTAACCTATACTGAGGCTAGACAGTAAACTGAGGGCCTTCGGTTGCAGAGAACTTTGCCGTCCGGCACGAAATCACAAAGGTGACCGCTTCCTCAGAATATACCGGTGCGGGGTTCGAATGCGGTCCGCCGCTCCGGGTGTGCCTCGTTGCTGGCGCGAAGTGCCGCAGGGCTCTGGCGCGAGCTCGTCAGACCGTGATACAAAGGGTTTCAGGTCTGCGATACGGGCACGGCTGAGTTTTCCCATATGGGGATCTTTCAGCAAGTACACGAGTGGAGTGCAAGCTTTCTCCACTCGGTACGGACCGAGCCACTTAGGAGCGAGCGAGGTTGAGAACCCCTTACTGGCATCGCTAAAAGCGTGGTTGCGCTTCAGGACAAGATCGCCCACCTCAAAAACTAAATCGTGATGCTTGCGGTCATATTGGGCCTTCTGCTGAGCCCTGGCCGATGCCAAACTTTGCCTTGCTTTGCAGAAAGCTCGACAAAGCCTGTCCCGAAGTGCCGACGCGTAAGTAGAGCAGTCTGCCGGCACCTCCTCGTCCTCGAGCTGGCATTGAGTGACGCTGGTCACCGGATTTGCCAACTCCCTTCCAAAATTTAAGAAGGCGGGCGAGAAACCAGTTGAGCGACTCTCGGATGTTCGAATAGCTAACGCGAGCTCACCCAAATAGTCTGCCCAGTCCCTTTGACTTTCAGCAAAGGCCGCCAACATCGGTTTGAGCGTACGATTGACGCGCTCCGTCAAATTGGACTGGGGATGGTAGGGTGAAGTGGTGCAGTGATCAATTCCGAGGGAACGGCACATGACACCAAACACCCGAGCGGTGAAATACGAAGCATTGTCAGTGATGAGCCTTTCCGGGAAGCTGAACCGGCAAAACACTTCCTGCAGCTTCTCAAGCACCGCTCGCGCTGTCCCCTTTCTAAGTGGGAAAAGTTCCACCCATTTCGAAAAGTGATCAACGACTACCATCAGGTGAATGAACCCTTGCTTACTTCTGGGAAATGGTCTCATTAGATCGCAGGTGGCCACCTGCCACGGA